GTTTAGGGTTTAGGGTTTATGTACCTCTAAGAGTAGAGACATGGGTCTTAAAAAGGGTCGAAGTATATACAAAAAAGACAGTAGGTACATGGACCCTCACGGTTACTTCGAAGTCCATGAATGTCTGGGGTGTAGTTTTGGGTTTAAGGCGTACCAAGGCGTACTGTGCTTTTGGCTTGGGGTACCTTCCCTTGGAATGTTGAGAGACCTGCCAAGATACTACAGAGTTTGGGGCCTGATAAGACTTTCACACTGAACGAAGTACCACGTTACCAAACCATCTGCTATGTACAAAGCTGAATGAGCTGGATGTAAGAGGCATCACCCGTCTCAACAAGTTCATCTGATGAGGATTGATGAATGTACATGGTTGACAAACTGGCAATACCTGCTTTTCTAGGCTGGCTCTTACACTGATGTTGAAATCCTCTCAGGCCCAATAAGGGAAAACACAAAATGTCCCAAAGACTTGCCTAGTTTATGTCAGTCGTCGGCCTACTGGGCTCCTAAACCCTAAACCGATCCTGAAAGTCTTACGGAGCCGGCCGAGCAGCTTAAGCAAAGCCTTCGTGGGCCTAGGTTGTGATTCTACCACCGTCACCCCAAACCGCTATAGGGTTTAGGGCCCTGAATTCAAACCGAAGGCCCCAAACCACTGAGGCCCCGAACTCAAATTTGTTTATCTAAGTTTGAGACATTTGAGACCCCCAAAATTTTAGAACCCCATGAACCCTGTCAGCCCTAAACCTTAAAACCTCTAGCCCCAAAGCCCCAAACCCCTAAATCCGTAAACCCTGTAATCCTAAGCCGCAAGCCCTAAAAGCTCTGAAACCCTAAACTTTGAGAACCCAAAACCCCTTAATTAAGGAATATAGCTTAACTCATTCCTCAATTAAGGGGTGTTGGGTTCTCTGGGAACCTTAAACATCGAGCCCTCAACCTATTACTAAACCCGTAAGCGCACTGAGGCCGCCGGCCAAAAGACCTCTGACTCCTGGTGGAAGGCAGCCCAACCAGCTGGCAACAGCCTCGGTGCATACTGGGCCTTTGAATAATGCTTTAGGGCTGTAGGGCTGTAGGGTTTTAGGACTTAGGGCTTAGGGCTCAGAGTTGAGGGTTTAGGGGGTTAGAGTTTTGCATTTGCGTTTAGCTACTGGGGCTTTGGAGTTTGGGGGCTTCTGGTCGGAGTTTTCAGGCATGGGTGTCCTTTGGCCCCGAAGTACCTATATAGGGACTACTCTAAAGAACTACTGTAAAACCGACAACACTAAAACCGAAAAGCCTAAAAGCCCGCAAGAGGTCTGGGATTTCCGGCCAACTCGGCTTCGCTCGCCTGAGCAAGAAGAACAGCAACAGAGGAGAAATGCAGGCCCTGAGCGGGGTTTAGGGTTAGACTGGGGTATACCCTAAATCCTAAACCCTAAACCGTTTAGGCTTAGACTTAGGGTTGAGGATGGTCTACAGCTCATGTGCGCACATAGACGCAATAATGTAAACCCCAGAGGAGTAAGCTCATCTACTTTAAAGGTCCTATTCTTAAATTTAAAGCTATAGGATCCTCTTATCATCGGCTTCAGAGAGGGAGGTTTCTGAATCAGGGTTCTCAATTGATCTCATGCCGTCTACTGAGTTCGGCGGCCCGAGGTATACCCATATAGGAACCCCGTCAATGCCTGAGTACGTACTGCGTAGGCACATGGACTCTGAAGTTTACAGAAACAAGCTCCGACATCCGGACGATACTATGAACCCTAGACCCGAATGACCCGCAACAGAGGCTAAATCAACAACCAGGACCCCAGACTCACTGACATGAGTATAGGTCGAAACTTCGGGTGCAGCGAGGGTGGTCGAAACTGGAAGGCTCTGATTCGTCTACACGAGTTCTAGCATGCACAAGAGGAGCTGGACATAGCTGTGCCTTTCGATCAATTCATCATGAAACAATGCAGAAGCAAGGACAAACGGTGATTGCTATCAACATCGTGGGAGTGCAGTGCTCCTAGCTGCCTAAACCCTAAGCTGGGACTTCAAGTTACTCAAACGAGCTGTGTTCTCCGTACCAACATGTTTAGCATGAAGTCCGGCTTCTCCGTGATGGTAAACAGGCAACATGTGGAATCATTATGATGATGAGGGAAGGCATCTTGGGGTTTAGGGAATGGCTGGATGGGTGGTTCCAGACATCTGAGGACGGGAAACGATCTGACAACGCTCTGCTTGGCATGGTGCCCTCGTGGGTTCCAACTTCCGATCGTCGAGCCCGCAGGACACTCCAAGGGGTTTAGTGTTTAGGGTTCAGGGTCTAAGTAGAGTATATGCTACCTGTAACCCCTAACCCTGAACTAGAACTGACGGCATAGGGTGTACGGTTTGGGTTGCTTGGGTCACATGCCAACCCCCTGCACCCAAGCGCCTCAGCCGCCGCAGGGCCACCTGAACATATTTATCTGGGATCCTGCAGTTCTGTAACAAGTTGTGCACGGATGTCGAAGTAACTGCTGATGATATACATCCTGCAATACCTTAAGGATCAGGGTTTTAGGGTTTAGGGCTCTGGGGGTTTAGGGTTGAGGCTTTAGGCTCCTGCATAACCTTACGGACCCTAAACTATGGGAATTATTGTATATTCCTTATTATTTTAGGGAATGCAAGATTTACATCATCAACCGTACCTTCTTCCTGAGCCCCTACACCCGAAACACCTGAACAGATTGAGTTGGCCTTCCAGGCACCCCTCGATTCTTCCGCACCCCCAAGCCTAAGGCGTACCATGCACCATAGGAATACTGGTCATACTTGGAAAAAGGCATTATCTATCAACGTATATATGGTAAAAACTCCCACAAAACAAGCTGTTACAGTACTCTCAAGTATCCACTGTCTTCATGATGAAGCTCATCCGATAGATCTGGAAACGTCCCTAAACCCTAAGCTCTAAACCCTAAACCGGTCCGGCTTTTGGTTTAGGGCTCGGGATTTCTCCCGGGTCTCAAAAAGCCGGAGCCACGATGGAAGAGGGCGGAAGCAGGGCGGTTTCCTGCCGGTGGATACCGGGTTTAGGGTTCAAAAATACCCTCTGCAAAAAGTGTATCCTAGATCCTAAACTAGGATACTGCCTATCATATTAATATAAGCCCTAAACCCCATAAATACCCTAAGCCATGTAAACCTACCCTAGAAGCCCTAAACCCCGACACCACACGAACAGAAAGCCTGAAGCTGCGGATCCGCTTCAAGTGGAACCCTACTTCAAGGATCATGGGACGACCATCTCGAACAGGTACAAACCAACAGTTTCCATCCCAAGCACCAGTCCTTTCTGTACGGTTTAGGGTTTAGGAATTCGGAAACGCTGGTGTTCTTAGAGGATCATGGGACTTAGTAACTAGGGTTATGGTTAAGGTAACTCTACTTATAATTATTTATAACCCCAATTAAGGTACTTATAACCTTACTTACTAAGTCCCATGATCCTCCAAGTAAGCAGCCTATACGCCCCACTTTAGCCGGACATCTAGCAGCTTAGGGTTTTGGGTTTAAGGTTTTCTTGGCTGACTTCTGAACCCCTCCTAGAAGCTAAACTTTTAGCCGACTTACTAAAGCTCATACAGAAACCCCAAGAGTTAAAGTCTTAAGAGCCAACCAGAAGAACGCCAAGGTCTAGGGTGCAGGACCCTAACGCCATCTAAAGCCCAACTAACGGGACATCACAGCTTAGGGGATCTTAGATGCAGGATGTCAGGGATTCGTGGCCGCTTGTCTTGGTATACGCTTTGGGAGCGAAGCGGATTTGGAGGTCCGCCTTCTAGACCCTGGAATGTAGCTTTTTCGGAGACGCCGCTTTTTTGGCAGACTTCTACAATGACAGGAAGCGATCACAGCAACAACAAAACAAGACTACATGTTAGCGTTGCGGCAACTACAGAGCATAGTTTAGTCCTTGACAACCACAACAAGCGAAAGTCGAAATGGGCGTGGCTCGGAACGATTCTTCGACACACCGTCCAGGGTACGCAGCTTGCCCTACAATACATGCAAGCCCTATCCAAATTCGTCCGAGCAAAGGTGCTTGCTAGAGGAGGCACTCGACATCGCCAGCCCTAAATCAGTGAACAGACTTCTCTCCAGCTTAAACAGGTAGCCTAAACTCTAAGACTCTAAGCCCTAAGCCCCAAACCCGAAACTCTAAGGCCTCGGCCCCAAGCCTCAAGCCCCAAGACTCCGGAACCCTGAGCCGGGCGCCTTGTTCCTCAAAAGCTGCACCATCATCGTACCATCGCCGGGCCAGAGAGGTCTGCAGCTAGGGGCAAGGGGATCTAGGGGCTCATGGGGTTTTAGGGTTCCGGGTTGAGGGCTTACGGTGAATATAGGGCCAGGCCTTAATCAGTAGAATAGTGTTCGGGGATGTTTTGGGGCATGTTCGGAGAGGTTTGGGGTTTATTGCTTAGGTTGTCCAGCCGAGCACACCTTACTTTTCCTTTAAGACAGCTGAACGTTTACACCGTAGACTAGGCCCACTTGCAACGGCTTTTTCAGAACGATTCCCTCTTTCCTGTTCTAGAAACCTTCATGGAACCTTCGGCCCTCAGGAGCGAAAGGGGTTGTTACTGGTTGGTGGAGAAATCATGGCGAAGATGCAGCTGGTGTGGGGCTCGGGTTGGGGCAATAATTAGGAGCATTAAAATCACCTATGCAAAAAGCCTGCAAACTTTATTCCTTAAACCCTAAACCCTATAAGCCCTGTAAAACCTACCAAAAAACCTACAAACCTTACGCCTCAAATCCTAAACCCAAGGTCGGCCATCCTCGACCCGAAGCAACGAACCTGCAAGAAACCCTGAACCTGAAACCTTCTCCTAAACCTATATATATATATATATGTATACACACACACACACACCCTAAACCCCACACCTTGAACCCTACAAACCCAAAAATCCGTAAACCCTATAAACCCTCTCAACCCTGTACATCTAAACCTTAAACCCCATAAAACCTTAAACCCCATAAACCCTATCACCCCATGTCACTTATAGACCTTAAGCCACATTAAACCCTAAATCCATACCTGAAGCCCTTAATCCTATAAACCATCAGCCCCAAACCCACTCACCCGTCCTGCTGCTTGGCAGCTGCCCTCAGTCCCTGCACAGGCTGCAAGAACTTAGAGCTGGGTTTAGGATTCAGGGGTTTGGGTTTAGTTTAGGATTTATCGCTTCGGAATCGATACGAGTTCCATAAAGGATCTGTGAGGATTAGGCTTTAGGGCTTAGGGATCAACTGGTTTAGAGCTTCAGCGGTGAAGCATTTAGGGTGAGTGCCTAGTTACCGAGTTCGTTTGCTGGAGGGGTGCAGAGTGTGGTTGGGTCCCCTAAACCCTCAAGAGACGGCGTCCTTCGGCGACATCATTCGTGCACGAGATGCGTTTCACCCTAAACCCTAAACCCTAAACCCCTAAACCCAAAAAGACCCTGAACCCTAAACCCAAAAAAACCCTAAACCCCTAAACTCTAAACCCTAAACCCCAAAAAAACTCTGAACCCTAAACCCCAAAAAACCTGAACCCTAAACCCAAAAAAGCCCTAATCCCTAAACCGTAATTAGGGAAAACTCAGGGTCCCTAGCCGCTGATACCACGATCCTTGTAACCAAAACCCTGAACCCTAAACCCTAAACCCTAAACCAGGGTTTAGGGTTTAGGGTTTAGGGCTCGCCACTACTACCCTAAGGGTCCATGTACCCAAATGGATATACTTTGGCCTTGAAGTAGTCCCTATATACATACTTTGGGGCCCACGCATTATATACTGTTTGGGTACATGGACCCTCAGACCTAATGCTTCTTATCCCATTTCTCTTAAGAACTTCGATGTGACGTTGTGTGGAGTACGCAGGCAGCGCTGCCGTGCGGGATCATGGGTGGCTACGTTTGAGATTGAGGATCCCTAAGGGTCCAAATACCCAAATAGTAGGGTTTCAAGGTCCAAAAACCATTCAGAGTATGGTTTTTGGAACCTGAAACCTTACTATTTGGGTACTCGGACCCCCTTGGGATGAGTGCCAAACATCCAAAAGCGGCAACACTTGCCGATACGTACTCACGGTACTGTATTGCAAATTCTTTAAGTGAGTGCTACTGGAAACAATAGTAATGCTTATAATAACAGCAGTAGCAGAAGTCATGGATGAGTACTGCTAGTAGTAACTGTAGTCGTATAGTACTGCTGTAGTGCAACTAGCAATGATTCTCGTGCAACAGCGGCCTCCTCCAGGGCACCAAGTACCCGAGTCTCCTGCAGACCTCCACAATGATATGGATTAAGGTCCAGGGCTCGGGGTTGAACCCACCTTCCTCCGGCTATTGAGACTGGATGCAGCTCTTGGTCGGACTAACCACCAAGCCCGAAACACCAAATCTCATCAAAAGTATAACTCCTAGGTTGGCCCTTTAAAGCGCTTCAAAAATATATTCGTAAAAAAGATCCACGTAGACCCATAAGGGATAATACAACATGTCCCAAAGGTTTACCTAGACCCTGGTCCACTGTTGCCTCGTACAGTACATTTTAGTGGCATCGGCCGCGCTCAAACACCCTGTTTCGACTGCGAAAACTCTAAAAATTCAAAGGGTGCTTACATCTCGGATGCCAGTTGCCTATATTACAACGAAAGATTTAGCCCCTGACCAAAGCAAGAAACACAGCCCCTGCGCACAAAATGTCGATATCCTGCAACACAGAGATTGAATGATATTCAACATAAGCAGTGCCAAAGAAGATCACGATCCGAATAATTGTGGTGGTAAGTCACCACGAACCGCACCAGACCCACCTGAATCAAGCTTTTCATGGTTCAGAAAGAAGACACTAAGACCCTAAATGCCCCATCTAACCCTAGGTCCTAAGCCACACAATCAACATGCACGCAACAAAAACGCATCCCTCCAAGAGGCCACAAACCCACATCCCTCAACAGCCCAAAAACCTGAACCTCGAAAGCCCCCCAAACCGCAAAACAAACAGCCAAGCTCCAACACCTCATATATAGCTCCAATCCATTATAATCCCAGAGCCCTTCAAACCCTACATCCGAACCCTCTCAACCCTCTAAACCCTGAGCCCTATGATCCAATTCAGGGCCGTACCCGAGATTTCCGAGCGTAGCCGTTTTACGAAGCTCGTGCGCTCGCTGGAGGAGCCAAGACCTGCAAGCGAAAAGAGAAGCAGCGGTTTAGGGTTTAGGGTTTGTGTTTTTGGGTTTGGGGTTTAGGGTTTAGGAGGCTTGATAGTTTGACTCAGTTTGAATACGGTTTTGGGGATATTACAGTAAACCCTAAACCCTATGTTTCAGTATACTTATCCTAAGGAGCCTTCCGGAAAAATATTGGTATTTGTTCAGGCGTCTATATTGGGTTTTAGGGGCGAGGGAGTTTGGGTTGTCGACTGTGAGTTTGAATTGCGACAACAGCAACAAAGCAGCAGGGAGTATACCTTAACCTACCACAGCTTACTTTTTGCTGTGGTCCCCTACAAATTCAATATTAGGGATTACGATCAGGGCCTACAAGCAAGTAGGCTATGGTAGTTTAAGGTAGGGTGGGTGATGCTTAGCCTCACGTAAATCGCCACGACACAATGGTTCGGGCTCATGGGCATCACCCTAAGGGTCCATGTACCCAAATAGATATACTTTGGCCTTAAAGTAGTCGTGTAGGGTTTGAAGCCGTCGCAGAAGCACCCATTCACACTTGACAAGCCCCTCCTGTTTTACACACTTGCTCCACAAAAGGCTTACATCACAGTTTATAGTACCCGTACCCTTTCTCCAAACCTGAAGAAACTATGAATGACTTTGAATCACTTCAGAGTATATGCACCTTGACCCTTAACCCAGAAAGGCCCTAAGAATAAACTGAAACGAACCTAAACTCAGAAAGAAACCCTAAACCCCAAACCCTAAACCATAAACCCCAAACACGAAGAACAAAACAACAACCAAACGCCTTGCTCCTCGGCAAGACCCTCGGGTCTCGAAGAGTTTGGAGCCTCGCAGAGCTCGGCTGCTTTGTCTGTTTACAGGCTACCGGGTTCGGGTTCAGGGCTTAGGTTTAGGGTTTAGGGTTTAGGGTACTTGGAGGATCATGGGACTTAGTAAGTAGGGTTATAAGTACCTCAATTGGGGTTATAAGTAATTATAAATCTAGTTACCTTAATTATAACGCTTGTTACTACGTCCCATGATCCTTTAAGTACCTGGACCCTGAAAAACCTACCTCAAGGGGGGAGGGTCCTAGGGATC